TTGTCGCAAGGCCTCTCTCTCTCTCTCTCTCTCTCTCTCTCTCTCTCTCTCTCTCTCTCTCTCTCTCTCTCTCTCTCTCATCTCTGCCTGTGTGTGTTGGTGTGCTCTCTCGCTCTCTCTCCGCCATGTGTTTGCGCTCCCTGTCTCTCTCCCTGTGTGTTTTGTGTGTGTGTGTACTCTCTGTGTGTGTTTGTGTGTTTGTGCGTGCGTGCGTGCGTGCGTGTGTGTGTGTGTGTGTGTGTGTGTGTGTGTGTGTGTGTGTGTGTGTGTGTGTGCATGTGTGCAAAACAGGTGATCCCATCATCTGCACACAACCTTTGGTCAACGATAATTGAGTTTCTTCAAGAGAGGTTGAAGAACCCGCTACACGAGTCAGCTCAATCATCTGCTGCTTTGGCTCTCGGTCCTTCAGCAGCTCTGCTCCATCCTACAGAATGGAAGCTTCGTTCCCAGATTGCTCTCGACTTAATCGATGTGAGTGATGCAATCTTGTCAGTGGATGACTGTATTATACTTTTTTTTTCTCATGATGTAGATGTTACGATCCTGGCCAATTTCGAAGTACACATTCATCAGAAAGTACAATGCCATCCAATTGCGAAGGAAATGAATGAGCTTCAGAGGAGAGAGCGGGAAAGAAGAAGAAGAAAGAAAGAAGAAGAAGATGATGTACACCAGCATGGATCAATGATAATGCTCTTCTTCTTCGCCAACCACTCTCCTCCTCCTTATCTCGGCCCCTCTTATTCAAACAAGAAATAACAATAATAATGTTGAATGGCTGAACCAGAATCAGTGTCCGAATCCCTCTTCTACTGCAGGCACAACATGCGATCCACCATAGCCATGACAATCCTTCCTCTTCCTGTTCATGTAGGCCAAGGTTATGGCGGACTACTGAGGACTCTGCCCTCCTGTCCAAAGGACAACCCAAAGCAGCTATGTCGTTGCCCTCCAAAGGACAACACAAAGCAGCTATGCCACTGCTTATCAAGCCGTCATGCCTTACTCTGCCTCGAACTTCCTTGGTGTGGCACTACCCCAACTGGGCCCTTCCAGATGCAGTGCCTATCAAGGTGATGAAGATGGTGTCCACCATAGTCAGGTAGGTACCTCGCCACTCTCCTCCTCAGTCCTCTTCTCCCTCCTCCTCCTACCGGTAGAGCTACACCATAGCCGAGGTGGGTGCTCCCGGTCTTCTTCCTCCCAGCAGCGCTGTAGTACCCAGCGCTCCTCCAGCCAGCGCTCCAAGCAGTGCGTCGTTGCACACCGAAGAATGAGGCTGAGCTCTTGGTTCAGCACAAAGATATAGCGGCCTACTTGCCACTTGGGCAGTGACTTCCAGGCCACTCGGCCTCTCAAGCAACCGTTACCTCCTCCCTTTCGAAGGGAAACATCATTGCAGACTCTGATATTGCCCGTACAGGCCCTAGACTCAGATTGGATGGACTGGTACCTGCCGAGACCTAGCCTACCACTATTGGGCCTCTAAAAATGACAACTTTGTCTTCTTCTGCTTGGCCTCGGGTACCCCGCACATCTACTTCTACTTGGCGCGGTACCGGCCTACCTGCTACTTAAGTGTTTTCCCGCTGCTCTAAGTGTCACGGGCCTCTTGCTCCGCCACTTGAGTGTTTTTCCCGCTGCGACCCTCAATGTCACGGCCACAGGTAATTACAGGCCCTACGGGCCTCCCAAACAAGCAAGCCGGTCACACACACACTCAGGCCGACAAGGACTTAGACAGGCACGCAGGTCACCAAGCACGCACACACACACAGACTTAGAAAACTCAGCAGAATGCAGGAATCTCAGCAACGCATCCATTCCATCGGCAGAACTCAGAAATCAGCAGTGTTCTCAGTCTGTGTTATGGCGGTCCAACTGAGCTTTCCCCTATCTCAAGACTTCCGCCCTTTGAAAAAAAAAAAAAAAGGGGGGGAAATTTCCGAAAAAATAAATAATTTCCACCCCGCTCCTGCATGACTGTGGTGTCCTTCCAGGGTCTACGTCCGACAGACTGCCACAGAAAATTTCAAAAAAAATAAAAAATTCCACCCCACTATACGTTTTCTTTTTTCAGACAAAGGTAGGATCCTTGAATCATTCCACGCACTCTCGAATCGTTCCCTGTAAACTTTCCACGCACCCTCGAAACGTTCCATGCAGCCCATAGATGGGCGTTTACGGGGTGCGCGGAACGTTTTGAGGGTGGGTGGAACGATTCGAGGATCGATCCACAGTTTGTTTCAATCTTCTCGACTCTCTTCGAGTGTGTGCTCGACGTATCGGTGATCTGTTCGTATCTCATCTCGTCCTTACACACACACACACACCGAAGAAAGCCAAACGAAGGAAAGAGAAGAAAGGACTGTATGAGGAAAAACCAATATAATTACATAACGGGTTTGAGTCCGCCTCATGTTCTTTGCGATAGGGGCAATTTTTGACACACAACGCCACACAGGCAAAGTCGGATGTTGCGTTCTCTGTTCGCCTTATTGGAGATCGGCTGGACAACCGTCGCTCTGTTTTGCCCCGTTCCCTCCGGTCTGGTTTGGTGCAGGGGGGAGCAAGCCCCTCAACAAGTCGATTTATGTATGAATGTAGCTGTGATCTGGGGCACAATTCTTGAAAGCCCCCGTCAGCAACTCGATTTACATATGTAGCTGCGATCACTGGTAGAGTACATATCATGGTTACACCGGACACAGACCCGGACTGTCGCATACCGTAATGGTGCAGACAAGAACAAGGACCGAACCTCTCTCACATAGTACAGGATAGCGCAGCGGAAGGCTAAAATACCAATGATCCGCCCAATCAGTGTCGCAATGCAGACCAAACATACATCATCATCATCGCAAGGTGTGCAGGGGCCTGGCGCTATACACGGGAAGAATGCGCAAGGCTCCAAACATACACAGACGAAGAGGAAGGGGGTTAGATGAAGAAGAGGGAGAAGATGGGAATGTCGTCACACAAGTGTCGCTGGTATCAGTCCCAAATAGTCCCTCATCAATGTCTCGATCCCAAGGTCGAGTCTGTATCCCAATGTCGTTAACATCCCAAAGTCACAAATCTCTCTCTCTCGTAGTCTGTCGATACTGAGAAGTCAGGTAGCAAGAGGGTGAGGGAGAGATGGTGGACAGAAGAGGAAGAAGAAGAACTCTCTCTCTCTCTCTCTCTCTCTCTCAGCTCTGTGCTAACCTGTGAAGGTGGCGCCTTGTTGCAGGTACACCGAAGACGAAGCTGGAGCTATGGCGCCACAGGTAAGTCCCCCTGGCCTCCGCCACTCTCTCTCTCCAATGCTACTCTAAGATCTAACAGCGCCCAGCGCTGAAGACTACTCTTATTGCTAGCTACTACTACTGCAGCGCTCCTGCAGAGTGCTGCTGCCGCATCCTGAAGACTGCCTCCTGCAACTCCCGTGAACTGCACGTGAAGTCCTGTGAAGTGCCTGTGAACTGCCTGCAGCCTGCAGGGCGGACCAGTACTATATAGTGCTGGTCTGGCTGGGAGGCTGCTCTTGCCCATGCCGAATCGTGCCAGACCCTGGCGTTGAAGTTCAAACAAAGGTTGTCTTGAAACGGGCCTAAAAATGGCCTGCGCTTAACCCTGGTCTGGCGCGTAAGTTTCAGCACAGGTAGACTTTATGAGGGCCTGAAAATGGCCCTCCTTTTCAGGCTTTTAGGCTGAAACGACACAGGGCCTGGAGGGGCCTTATTTTCCGTCTGGTCTGGCCCTGCAGGCCCGTGTGGATGCGCAGTATGCCACACGGACACAGCGGGATGTCTTGCGGGACTGAGGTCCCGGAAAAGTCTAGGAGGGGAAAAAACAAAAAAAAGGTTACAGAAGGCTTACAGACGGGGGGTGAGTTAGGCCATACCGACCTGAAGGGAGTATCCAGCCTGTGTACTCTCTCTCTCTCTCTCTCTCTCTCTCTCTCTCTCTCTCTCTCTCTCTCTCTCTCTCTTTCTCTCTGTTTTTGTTTGTTTCTACGTGTCTGTCTGTCTGCCTGTCTGCCTGTCTGTCTGTGTGTGTCTCTCTCTCTCTCTGACACACAGAATCAGTCACAGCCTGGCCCTCTTTGGCTTTCTGAAATGGCCAGAAAATAGTTAAAAAAATTAAAAAAATCCCAAAACAATTTTTTGGGGGTGGGCATTGAACAACCAAAAAAATAAAATAAAAAATAAACGGACCGGACGTCCGCTCAGACATCCAGACGCGGACGGTCCGGACCGGGCTCCGGATGTCCGGATCGTAACCATGGTACATATCATGGTAACCCCGGACCCGGACACCGGACACTTCCGGACTGTCTTCTGGACCAGTCCAGACTATGCGGTGATTCGGACATCACCGGACACCAGACAGTCCGGACCGGTCCCCGGGGTGCAAAAATGTCCGGACCTAAAAAAAAAAAAAAAAACAGGGGTGGGGGGTTGGGTTGGGTGGGGGTGTTGGCAGGCACTTACCTGCTTTGCACTCTGTAGTTCAGGCAGCAGAGCACGTGTCTTGCAGCAAATCAACAAGCACATTTAACTAGCAGACATGCAGAGTTGCAAACAGTGCAAAGCAGGCACAAGACTAAAGAAACAGAGAATTTTGTTTTTGAAAAAAGTATGATTAACTTTTTGAACTTTGAACTTTGGATTTAGTAATTTTAAGTTCATAACTTCATATAAACTTAAAAGTTCGAACTTTGCAGTTCAATTCAGAATGTCAGAGTCTTCAGACTGGTAGCACAGTCAGTGCTCTCTCTCTCTCTCTGTCTGTCTCTCTCTCTCTCTCTCTCTCTCTCTCTCTCTCTCTCTCTCTCTCTCTCTCTCTCTCTCTCTCTCTCCACAATGGGCAGCAGAGGCGGGCGCCACGTCGAAACGGCCGCTTTGAAATTGCTCGGGCCTGTGTGAAACCCGCCACCTCAAAAACCTGCAGTGTCTTGTGTCTGGACCTCTACGCCATGTCCGGTGGGGTGAAAGGACACTTAAAAATCACCCCATTATTTTTCTAGAGGCGGCTAGGACCCGACAAACGTCCTGGGCCGACCCTTTTTTTTTTTTTTTTTTTGCCCCAGGGGCCTCCATCCGGACATGGGGACCAGACACCGGACACCGGACTGTCTGGAACCTGGTCCGGACGTCCGGGCAGTTACCATGGTACATATCCCACACCGCAGGAATATGATGCATTGCTTTCTGCATGGTGGGGTGTGGTACCGGATGTGCTGATTCGTTCTCTTTCCTGCTGACACCTGTCCTGCAGCAAGTGAAACATAGTGACAGCCCTGCAGTTCGGTTTTCATGTGCGTCATCGCTCGGGCTTCTTTTTGATGGCTTATTGAAAGGGCGGTATGGAGGGGATGACCATCAGAGTACGGAAAGCGATGAAGAGGAACTAAGTCACTCCCCTTCGTCTCGACGCGAAAGACGCCAGATGGCGGGCGACGGAATTCATTTCGAGCGGGAGATGGCGACTGTGACGGATATGGTAGAGGAGTTGTTGAATATTGTCGTCGCACTCCGGCCTGTTGCCAGGTTGGACGTCGAAGAAGTGATTGAAGCGTCGCAGTTAGGACTCAGTTTAGCGGCAGACGGCGGCCGCACAGCAGGTCTCACAGTGGCAATGCAAGCGGGTAAGGAGGAGCCAAACGTTTGGGCTGTTGTCGGGATCATTCTGGCCATTGCGCATGGCGTCATGGCGTTGGAGAGGGGGAGAGGACAGGCTGGTGTGGAGGCGATAATAAAGGTCCTGACTTCATGGCTGTTGTCGCCAAGAGGCGGCAGCCAGTCAGAGCAGGAGGAATCGTCTGTGCGTCAGGTGGTTGGTGGTGTGCACACTGGAGGGATTGCACTTACAATTGGTGCCAGTCTAGCTCTTCCGGCAATCGCGAGTGCAGCATACCGTGCGGAATTGATTGCGGACGAGGAGGTTGACTCGATCTTGAAGGCTATGGAACGGATTCTTCTGATGGGTAGTGTCGGGGACATGGCCTCACCCTCACCTGCAGGAGGCGAAGCAGCGAGGGCGGTCTCTACGGAAGCAGCACACTTGTTTGCTGCCGCATGTATGGGGATCGGTACGTACGTAGACGAGATGGTGAGGGAAGGGTTCACGGTTTCGGTCAGCCGATTGCAGAGCATCATGTCCACGATGATCGCTGGCTGTGATGAGCGCCACTTGGCAGTGCAGCGGATGGGAGCCATGACCGGTCTTTGCAGTTTGTTCGGCGCACGAGTCTTGGGTGTCGCGTCGCGCAGATCTTCTCATGGATCGACAACCTTAATGGGAAGCAGCAGGCAGGGGGCACGCCAATCGAACATGGTAAAATTACTGATTACCTTGCACAGATCTTTGGAGTTTGTTTGGGCTACGAGTCTTGGGCATCGCATTCTGAGCTCTTGAAGACTTCCAAGTTAAGGTGGCATTTTTCTCTTTTTTTCTTCGCTTGTGATTTTGACTTTGAGCTTGTATAATGTGGATTTTGCATTTCATGATTCTATCGCTAAACTGCTAACCTGTTTGTCTTGGTGCATCGGGTGTGGCTAGCATATCTGGGCTCCACGCTCTGGAATGACCCCTATTCTGAACAAGTGGAGAAAAGGCCAAAAAAAGGGAAAGAAAAGGGAAGAAAAGGGGGTGGGGGGGAAAGGGGGGAAAGAGGGGAAAACAAGGACACATGTCAGTTTGTGAGTGCAGGATACCTGTCAGTTTCAGTTTAGAAAAAGGGGGGGGAAGAAAAGTACACATTTCAGTTTGTGATGACTGTTGCAACTTTTGAGAGAGATGGATATACCTGCCTCCCTGAAGACGTCTGCCGACACAATGGTCATCCATCACTTACGGCCACGAGCTCTCACAAAATGTGCTCTTTAGACAAGCTTAGAGTCTTTAGACTCCTTACCAATTCTTTTTCCTTTTCATTTCAAAATTTCCACTTGTGGGAACCTTCTCCAGCACCCACCAGTGGTTCACATTCACAGGTTGACATTTCCTGGTGCCTTTCACACACTTTGTTTTTTTTTTTGGTCTGTGTGTGTGTGTGTGTGTGTGTGTGTGTGTGTGTGTGTGTGTGTGCTGTCTCTTATACACATCTAGATGTGTATAAGAAAAAAGAGAGAGAGAGAGAGAGAGAGAGAGAGAGAGAGAGAGAGAGAGAGAGAGAGAGAGAGATTTGTGAAAGGACTCACGCTGCAGACACCCAGTCCCGGACCCAGGGTCCGGACAAGTCCCAAGTCCCAGGGCCGTCCGGTAGGGTAGGCCGTAGGGGCTGGAGGCCAAAGTGTCGTAGATCGTAGGTGTCGGTACCGAAGCGTCGTAGGTCGGTAGGAGTCCGACCGGTACCTGACAAGAAAGGTCCAGAAGCGTCCAGTCCAGTCCGACAGTCCCAAGTCCAATTTTGCAGAACGTCCCAGGAAAGTCCGGAAGCTACCGGACCGACAAATTGTTGCAGGAGAGGCTGCGACCGACGGTACCGGCCTGAAGCAGGCCAATCCAAGCCAAGCCAAGCCAAGCCAGCGGCTCATCACTTGTTCACTTGCGAGGTGTGGAAGCTGCTGCTGCTTGTGCGTTAAGGCAACATGGACACTGTGCGCCTGTGGAAGGAGAGGGCGCCTGTGAGATACTCCATGGCTAGGCTAGACGTAGAGTAGGAGGACCGCGGCCATAGCCGCCAAGGTGTAAGCTGCCTGAGTGGGTGTATCCAGGGTAACGATCCAGGGTAGAGAGAGAGAGTTGAGAGAGAGTGAGGCAGAGCGAGTCAAGAAGAGAGAGAGAGAGAGAGAGAGAGAGAGAGAGAGAGAGAGAGAGAGAGAGAGAGAGAGAGAGAGAAGAAGGGGAGAAGCCACAGCCGCTATCTGTTGAGATCCAATGCGTGTGTGTGCGGCAGAGCCGCTGGAGACAAACATTCTTGTATATTGATAATAATATTGGAGACGACATCTTCAAGTGTTGATTGTATCTCGATGTGGCTTCTCACGTGTGAACTCTCTTGTGAATGTTCATTGATGTATGCGAGGTTGAACTTGACGAGTACTTGGCTCATTTCATTTGTAGTGAAAGTCTGCCTTAAGAAGTGAAGATTGTTTGCAATCTTCCTTTCTTCAATGTGTGAAGCCGTTCTCTGTCCTTGCTGATTGAACGTTTCTTTGCGTTTTCCTTCTTTTTTTTTTTTTTTTTTAGTTGCCCCCCTGCCTTTTCTGGGTTAGCATGAAATTTTACTGTGGGTAGAAGCAGATTTTGTCGGTCCACGTTGATTGTCGTTTTTTAGCTTCTCACAATGCTGACTGGGTTCAGACTCTTGAATTTTCCTCCCAATGCTGACTAGGTTCAAATTCTTTGCGGAGAGCTGAATACATTGTGTGAAGTTGTGAACTGTCCTCTTCTTGATTTCCGGAGCTGATGTGAGTGGAGAAGGACAGAATGGGCACTTCGGACAAAGTCGTTCTTTTTGTTTTTATTTTGTCACTTGGGAAGGCCAAAAACTACAAAAATGCTTCTGTTCATTTGATGTACACTGGGAATAAGTGATGGGTACTAAGCATACTTGCAAGCGCACGTCGTGCACGCGGTTCCCGACGTGCGGCGCACGCGCCCAACCGAGCCCGTGTGGCGCGCGACGTGTGCGGGGAACGACCCATCAGCCCCCTCCGAAAAAAAAAAGAAGGCCGGGGGTCGAAACGGTGCGTTCGAGGCCCCCTGCCAAAATTCTAGCGCGATGAATTTTTTTTTTTGCAGGAGTGCTGCCTCACCTCGATCCTCCTCCCCCTTCCTCGTCCTCCATGTCTCCTCCTCCCTTTTCCTTTTCGTCTCCTCCGACTCGTCCTCCTCCTCCCGTTCACCCTCCTCCTCCTTCCCTTCCTCATCCTCCTTGTCTCCTCCTCCTCCTCGTACTTCCTCGTCTTCCATGCCTCCTCATCTCCTTCCCTTCCTCGCCGTCCATGTCTCCTCCTCCTCCCACTCGTCCTCCTCCTGCCCTTCCTCTTTTCCCTCTGTCCATCTCTTCTCTTCCCCCATCTCCCCCCCCCCTCCTCCTCCTCCTCCTCCTCCTCCTCCTCAGTATCCTCGTCATCCTCCTCGTCCACATCCTCCTCCTCTCATTATCCCCCTCTCCTCGCCATATCCCCATCTTCCGGTCATGCGCCCCCCCGTCCCCCCCAAAAAATATGAAAATAAAAAATAATAATAATAAAAAAAATAAAAAATCTGCACGATTCCGGACAGGCACTCCCCGCACGGAACTCCGCACGGAACTCCACACGAATGTGCAGCTCGTGCGGTTGCAAGTATGGTACTAAGTACTACTAACTACCAAAAAGGGGATGCAGCTTAGTTGGTACACCCATGACTTGTTGACATGAAGACCCAAGTTCAAATCCAGATGCAGTCTGATTAACCAAATAACATCACTTGCTGAATTACCTAGGTCCTGGTCAATTGAATTATCTTCAATGATGATATCACAAGGCTGTCACCCTTTGAAAGAAAGAGAGGGACAAAACGGAGAAAGCAATGGGTACTGCTGACTTACCCCGTGAAGAACACATTGTCTTCATCGCTGCATTTAGACTGAAAGTTGCCTTAAAATACAGCGATAGTTAATGACTGCGCAGAGGACCATAGGTGGGAAAGCTGTCGCATGGAGAATTTGAGCAGTGAGTGCACGCATTGGGATTCTTTTCTTTTTTCTCTTTTTTTTTTGTTGCACTTGATTCTCATGAAAGTGGTGTGATCTTTTCAGTCTTTTGTGGCAGGCCCCCTCCTTCTTGAGCCTGCACTTGAGAGAGAGATTAGCGGTGCGATTCAGCGAATGGTGGAGATTGCTTGTAGCAGCAGAGATCAGCGGATTAGACGACATAGTGGATGGGCCCTCGCGTTTGCCCACAGCGCTTACATGGCAGAACATTTGCCTGAACGCATTCCGTTAGCAACTTGTGTCGGTCCGCTGTCCTCGTCGTCATCAAGCGGAGGGGTATCGGTTGAACTTGCACATTTGAGGACACTCCAAAGCTTGCCAGAGGAGGGAGCGCTTCGCACACTGACGGAATGGCTCGTTGAGCTCGGCGAGCGAGCGAGGCAGAAGTCGTCAATCGATGAGAGCACAGGAGACGCCTCGAAGGGAAACAACGACGGCAGAGGAAATGCAAGTTTGTCCAAGGAAAATACCAAGCGGATTGCCGAGTCGGTCTTGCGATGTCTCGGAAAGGCACCTCGTTTGCCACTCCTTGATTGGGTGGTTCTGCTGAAGAGGATAATGCGGCGGCTTCTGAGAGCGAAGCACTATGCCGCTGCTTTATTTCCTGATCAGGAAGGAGGAGGAGGAGGAGGAGGAGAAGGAGGAGGCACAAAAGTTACTGCGGAGGGACTTGGAACAAGATTACGCAGAGAATGTGTGAAGTTCGCCCTGGATTGCGCTCCCAGTTTTCCGCCGATGGTGGTGCTGCTTGACGAGCTCTCGGAGCTCACACGGTTCTCCGTGCTCGAACCCACGATCCAAGAGTTGCTTCTGCAGAGCCTTTCGAGTTTGGTACATGTGTTCTCGATTGGACGCTCTAAACAGCTGTTTGGCGATTTTAGGCGGCTTATACTTGACGACAACCGTGAAAGGAAGAGTAAACATGAAGACAGCGGCAGCAAAACTAACGCATCCAGGAGCAGCGGCGTGAGAGGCAATCGAGGAGGACGCGAATATGAACGGAGCACCCCTCTTTTCAGAAAAGCGGCATGGTCGGGGCTTTCACAGTGCCTCGTGTTTGTTAAGAAAGCCCAGGCAGACAATGCGTCGGGAGAGCAATCGCAGCTACAGGTGTGGACGAAGCTCGACGGGGAGGTTCTCTCGTGTATCGAGGCCTTGTATATGACTTTGGACCTACCGTCGAGCATGCAGACTGCAGCACATGAAAGTAGGTTCAGGCAGGCGGCCAACGCTGTTGTTGGGTCGGAATTCCAAGTTGTACGAGGAGTTGTGCAGAAGACAAACGCCACAGACACTGGAATGGTCCAAGAAGTGGGGACCGCCGTGGTGGGGACCGCCATGGTGGGGACCGCCATGGACAGAACCATGGAGGAATGGGATGCAGCGATTGCCTGTCTGGCACAGGGACAAACAAAGTGGACACTTGAGCTCCTGAAGGTACGAAGTTACTATGAAGTTACTATGAACTGTCGGGTGTCTTTTCTTTGACTTTTCATCTCCTCGATTTGAGACCGACGTGAGAGGACGTAACACAAATTCAGCTAGTGTACGATGTCTTTCCCTGAATATGATGTACGTACGCTGTATGGTCATTATCGCTGTATCTAGACAAAAAGTTGCTCCGAAGACAGCTGTAATGACTGTATGACAGTGTATGTCCTTTCTTCCCCTTATTATACGCTGTTTAAGCAAAAAATAGCAGGTCTCGCAGGACGCTGTCCCACGAGACCCGTTTCCGAGTTGGGTCCACAGCCGGGCCCAGGGCACGGCAATCGCCGTTTGTTTTTTTGTTTTTTTGTTTTTTTGTTTTCCTTTCCCGGTCCGACCCGGTCGTGTTTTGCATGGCTGGTGCCGCGCGTTTTCCCCCAGGGCTTTGACGGCGAACGTTTGAAATTCGTATACAAGTACACAGCGGCCGTTCTCCACCCGAGGACTTGAAAGTTGTGTTCTGGGGGTCGATTCAGTCTCATCTTGGGGTTCGCTCCACTACTCTCCGGATGAACAAAAGAGGACTCCGAGATGTGGCAATGTATTTGTCCACGATCTAGCCGAGGCTTCACTCTCATTTTGCTCACTGCGAGAGTAGTGGAGCGAGGCCCTTAGTCATGGGGCCAGAGTGAATCCCCCGCTAGAACATGCAAAGATACATTGGCATATTTTTTGTCACTTTTGCATATGGAGAGCAGTAGAAACTGAATTTGAACACGCATCTCTATTTTTTCATTTTTTATTTTTTTGTCGCTTTGGCTATATGTGGTAATGGCCAAAGCGGTGTTTTCGGCCCCGCTCTGCCTCCTATTCAACGCATGCACAATCAACATCTCCCTCTATCGTCTGGCAGCATCTGGATTTGAACACGCATCTCTATTTTTTCATTTTTTATTTTTTTGGGGGGCGGGGGGTTCTCTATTTCGACAGTCCGTGGTCGTAACAAGTGACGACGGCTCAATTGAACTCAGGTCTATATGTCATGTGGTGGGAGTGAATCCTCTGGTAGAACATGGAAAGATACATTGCCATGTTTTTGCCCTTTTTTTGTCGTGTGTGCATGTAGGAAGTAGTGGAGAGAGGCCCGTGGTAATGGCCAAAGGGTGTTTTTGGCCTCGCTACTACTCACCATGCAAACGACATCCCCCGGGCTCTCATCTGCCAGCACTGTATTTCGACAGTGCATGGGTGTACCAACTGACGGCTCAATTGAACTGGCCTCTATATTTCGACAGTGCGGCAGGAGCACACAGCAGAGAAGGGGGAGCTGCCCGAAGGGGAGGCGGATGCAGGAGTGGGACAGAGCGGAGGTGGCAGATGACAGCAAGGGGCAAGGGGGAGGAGGAGGAGTAGGTTTCTGCCACGCGCGAAGCCGCGGCGGGGGTCCGCTTGTTTTTTTATTTTTAAACAAGAGGCTTGGAGGTTGTAATGGGTGACGACGGTCTTGAGGTATCATTGTCGAACAGAGGGGCCCCAGGTAATTGAGAATTTTGTTCGTTTAGTTCCATCTGCGTTCGAAGTGAGGTCGGTATTTAAAGTCCTAAACCACCACCACCTCCGAGCGTGTTTTTGCCAGCCCTGATTTTCACTGCGCACCGAGTGTTGCTGAGCCTGGGTTCCGTTTTGTTTCTTTTTTGGTACTCTCCCAGGGTTGCATGCCTGCCGACCTCAGACGCCGACTGCCGACCGTTTTGCAGCCGACCAGTGGGGCCTACCGGTCGGCGGTCTGCTGACCAGTCAGAAAACAGCCATCCACTGATTTTTTTTCAAACCTGAGTTAGGGGCTTGCTGAGTACAGCCCAAATCCGCTGAGCCGACCAGTAGGGCCTACCGGTTGGCGGTCTGCTGACCAGTCACAAAACAGCCATCCACTGATCTTTTTTCAAATCTGAGTTAGGGTCTGTACTGCGCTTGCTGAGTACAGCCCAAATCCGCTGAGAAACTTTTGGGGATGCGGGGAGGTAGGGGGGGGTTATAGGGGGGTTATAAGGTGTATCAGGGGGGGGGAATGAGGGTGTTGGGGGCCAATTTGGAGGGGGTAAAGGGGGTGTATAGGGGGGGGTGGCTGAGGTAGCCAGGCGTGGCCCTCCCTTCTACAGAAATTAAGGCCAGAGAAAACAAAATTAGGGCCCCGTATTCCTCATTGCATATAGCTTTTTTCCTGATGGGCCCCCCGCAGAGAATCTGCAGGGCGCTTATATCTCAGAGGAGACGCTCGACGGGTTTCGGATGAGCGAGGAGCAGGCCACCAACATATCTTCTGGATCCGAATTCAGGTCCGTGTTCCAGCAGTTATGGGCTACAACTACTTACTGCCGTAGCTCTCTCTTTCTTTCTTTTGTTTTCCTTTTCCTACTAAGGGCCTGGCTCCACTCATCACCACTTGCAGAATAGACAAAACGCGGCGTATGATTCCATGTTCTAGCAGAAGATTCATTTTTACACATTTGGTGCGTGGTGGAGGGAAGCCCTGAAAATCAGGTGGTGACTTGGCCTGCTACTGCCCAGATAATCATGTGCTCCATGCTCCCATAACTGCTGAAACACGAACCTTAATGCATATCTACACCATATATAGTTGGCGTCCTCCTGCCCTGCCATGTGTTCGAGAAGTGCCACTTTCGTGGAGAGGAGGCCCTTGCTAATTATTTGCAGGGGCCTCTAGGATTATGATAAAGGGCTCCTCTCTCTCTCTCTCTCTCTCTCTCTCTCTCTCTCTCTCTCTCTCTCTCTCTCTCTCTCTCTCTCTCTCTCTCTCTCTGTGTGCTGCCCTGCCATGTGTTCGAGAAGTGCCACGTTCGTGGAGAGGAGGCCCTTGCTAATTATTTGCAGGGGCCTCTAGGATTATGATAAAGGCTCTCTCTCTCTCTCTCTCTCTCTCTCTCTCTCTCTCTCTCTCTCTCTCTC